AATTTTGCAGCTGGAAAACCGGGAATGCAGCAGGGAGGGGGTAAAATCGGGTGATTCAGAACTTGGAATTTTGCAGCTGGAAAACTGGGAATGCAGTAAGGAGTGGGTAAAGGTGGGTGATTCACAGCTTAGGATGAAACAGAGTTTAAATCCTGCTGTTCCCTGATCCTTATGGATAAGGCTTTGCTCCATCCCATGCCCTGGGATCTGGGAATGTTGGGGGACCCCCAGCCCGGCAGCCTCCCCCTCCTGGGGACCATCATCCTTAAAAAAGATGGGATAAAGCATTTTAGGATGAGGGGTCCCACGGCTACCGGACCCCAGGACGTGGGATTTGTGCTCCCGGGATGGATGTTCCCGCAGATCCATCCCAACCCGAGCTCTGGCAGCGGGGACACCCCCACCAGCTGCTCCAACTGGCCGTGGGACCGATCCTGGATCCAAGGAAAGTCCCGACGGCCCCAATTCCCGAGGACACGGAGGTGTCCCGCTCCCCCCGCCATCGGGATGCGATGATGGAGCCGGGCTGGCTGAGCCCCCCCCCCCGTGCCCTTCTCCTCCAGCAAAGTCTTCCCAGCTCCAAAAAAGGCGAGCGGACGCGGTGCCTTAAAAAAAACAAAGCCAAGAGCGAAGCCAGGCGGCTCCGGGGCTCCAACGATTCCTTTCGGCACCACCACGGCACAGCCAAAATCCCGGGTCCCGAATCCCGGCGCGGGGCCCCGCGTGGAGCCGCAGGAGGAACCCGGGGGGGGCCACGGGACCCCCCTCCCCTCCTTCGGCGCTGGTGGGAACGGGCTGTATTTTTGGAACATGATCTTATCCAAACATCACTCCCTGGCCAAACATGGTCTGGACATTTTTCTTGCCGTTTCCCTTCTTTCCCCCCCCCCCCCTTCTCGCCCTCCGCTTTTTTTTTTTCTCTCTGATCTCCCCGACGCCCGCTCCCCGCAGCCCTTTCCATCTCCTCCTCCTCCTCCTCCTTCTCCTCCTCCTTCTCCTTCTCCTCCTCCTCTTTCTCCCCCAAAGTCCCTGCCGGCTCCTTCCCGGTTTTGAATTCCCCAGCAATTACTCCCTGCCTCGACTTAAGGGCCTTTCCTGGCAAAAAGCTCTTTTTCCCAGCTGCCGTCTTAAAGGGACATGTCTTTGTCCAGGGTTATCCCGGCGCTTACAGCTCCCTGTCCCAATTCCAAAGGCTGGGAAACCAACGGCTGCCGCTGGGATCTGTGTCCCATCCCTGCCAGGTGATGCACCACAAGCTCTTCCCTTCCCGGTGCCTCAGCTTCCCCCGAGGAATCTGAGGAATCCATGAGGGAATGGATCCTGGTTCCAGCTGGGATGGGCCCAGCTCAGCCCCTGGGGAGATTCAGAGCAGCAAAAAGAGGGAAAATGGGAATGGGAGCAGCACTCGTGCCAGGCAGGAGTCAAATCAGCCAGCTCTGAGGCCAGGAAAGGGGATTAATTAATAAATTAATTAAACACTGGTAATTTTGCCTCGAGCCTGGCAGGGAGTGGGGCCTGCCAAGATGCTGCACACCAGGAATGAGCAGGGATTAGATTCTTCCTGGGCTCCAGCACCTTCCTGGGCTCCAGCATCATTCCAAGCTCCATCATCACCCCAGGTTTCAATATCCTCCTGGGCTCCAGCACTATCCTGGACTCCAACATCATTCCAGGCTCCAGCATCATCCCAGATTCCAATATCCTCCTGGGCTCCAACATCATTCCAGGCTCCAGCATCA